TAGTCCAAACAGCATAAACTCAGCACAGGGTGCCTTTGTTTACAATTTGAACTGAATGCCCTAGGGCAGGTAGCACTAGTGGCAGATATCACATTACTGCAAAGAAAAGTTAAACAGTACTCTATTATTATAAAGGATGTATATAGTGCCAACAGTTTGACAGTATAGTTCTAATACAACTCAATACAAGAAGGTTCAGAGGGCCCTGCTCGTGACATCTTACAATGTAAAAATACAAATTTTAGTTTCTGATTAATTTTATTTTTCACAGCACACAACTGCCTCCAGAAATTTTAACCTCCTAACACATTGAATATTTATGTATTTTTGATTAAGTTAAACCTTTATCTATAAAAACTGTGTTGCCCTTTTTTTTGCATGCTAGTCTAATATCGAAAATAAAGAAGTTACTAAAGGTACAAAGATTCTCGCACGACAGAATGCAACTTCGGAAGTGATGTAGTGTATTCTTTTGTTTCTGAGCATGAGTGGTCTCTCGATTTTTTTCTTTTGGGACGAATGCTGTACTGATTAAACAAGAATCATTTGCTCCGTTATCCTACAAGTTGTGATTAGCTGTCAAAAGCTGTATACTAATGATCAGGTTATCATGCGATCCCTGCGAAAGCCCTGCGATTTTTTTTTTATTGTGTGCTAGGCATAAGCCCTTAGAAAATGTACTACAAGACCATGTCCTAAAAAAAAAAAAAAAAAAAACTATTCCAACCATCTGGAAACAATAGATAAAGTGCTCATTGACTGTAAACAGCAATCAATCACATAGGCACAATCCAATTTTCTTCACTTACCCCCCAAGGCAGTTCACTGGCAGAACACTATTAACAACTTAATCAAGCTGGGGGATGGGAGCTGATAGAGGTTTATCAGCAAGGGAGCAACAATGTTTAGAATAGGTTTTCTAATCTTGGAGAGATCAACTACACCACTGTTCAAGGTGTGAGCTTATGGTATCTGTTGGTTAAAATAATAAATGCAACATAGACAAGTTTTTTTGTGCTTGTATTGGCAAAATAAAAATTCTTCTCAGCGGGACAGTGTCTGATAGAGTAATTTTTTGCCCACCCCCTCCCCCTGTCTGCACTAGAATCGGATCGCATAGGTATTCACACCTATGCGATCTGATTCTGCACATCGCACCGTGTTTTGGGGACCGATGTCGGGGTGTTGCTAACTTAACATACACACACCCCCATCGGTTCGTATGAATGGGGTGCGATTGTGATGCGGTGCAGAATTCGCACTCAAAAGGCTGCGAATTCCGCACTGCATCAGTGTGAACCAGGGCTTAAGCTGGTCATAGATGAATCTAAAAAGAGAAGCCAGAATACAATATGTGGGTGGAGGTGGGATAAGTCCATCTACCTCATTTATGTGAATAGAGAAGTCCATATATTTTCATTCATCCCGTTGGCTGAACAGTAAAAAAAAACACAAAATAATATTCTGCCAGCTTAACTCTTGACCTGTAAACTTATTACTGCTTTGCTAGTTGGCAATTTTGCTGAAACAAGAAAAAAGTACAGTGTTTTATGAATGTCAGCAGTGTCAAGCAAGTGACCCACTGTGGTCAGTGTGCAGAGAGGAAGCAGCTTGCACAAGATCTGGAAAATCGCAGCTGTCCTTGTAGTAGAATAGGCTTGCAAATCTGCCCATCAGGTATGATATTTGCAATTACATATACATCTTTTGTGCTAAGCTGGACCAATGTAGTAAGCAACAAAGATCATTCCTGGTGGCCAGCTTTATAAAACAAACTAAAAAGAGCTTGGAATGAATGAAGATTTGAAAACATTTAATGTATCAGTGACCCAAATACATACATATAAAAATAAAGATATACTGTAAATTCTACCATGATGAGCAGTTTCCCAAAGATCACCAGGGTTCTACGGGACACCAAATTATAATTTCTCATACATGTTGACAACCTAGATTCATACTGCTTTATGCCACTACTTAAAGACATCTACTGTCACTGGCAGGTCATTTATACACATCAATCTGCAACACGGCAAACTTTGCCGACAGTGGTACCTGATTCATGACATTTTGGACAAATAAAACTGTAAGACTTTGCCCATAGCAAGATAGCAAGAAATTAAATTTCATATAAACTTGGAATAAGGTCACATGTACACTGTATTTTTTAGGTACCTTTTCTCCTTAAAGGTGAAAAGCAGCAGATATTTGGCACTGCTGAAATTTACACACTGAGTGGTGCGTGTGCTCAGTGTGCAAGGCATACAGGCAGGTAATGGAACTGGAGTGCAAAATCTGGTACAGCTCTGCGTAAAAACCAAATAAGCTTCTATGGGTTTTTTTTCTGTTAAAGTTGAAGTTAGAAGCTGATTGGCTACCATGCACAGCTGCACCAGATTTTGCATGCTCTAGTTTTAGTAAATAAACCCCAGTATGCCAATTCTGCATTAAAATCCTGCCTGTTTGCCAAATGTTGACTTCTTACTTGAAGTTCCACTTTCAACAGGATGCCATAGTTTAATACCTAATGAACTATAAGTACTATATAGTGGATTTTCATATATTTTCTTATTATTTATCATGGTATGGTCAGGGCTACAACGTAAAATAGGAGGGGTTTTCTCTAGAGGAGCTATGACCTCTGTCTGGACAGTACTGATTGGCCCTGTGCTGATCACATGCACTCTCCCGAGAAAAAAAAAAAAAAAAAACCTTCTGTAGCAATACACACCAAATTGAGCATATGCAGTGTCTCCACCTGATATGTCTTATCAGGAGATCAGAGGGACACACTGGAAGAAGGGGAGGATCAGAGAAGTCAGGATCAAACCACATGTTTACACAATGCAGAGGGTTAACCCTTTAGGTTCCACAGTGAGTATAACACGCATTCTTTACTGCATATACAGACTGATTTTCCTGATGTGGGTTTAGTAACACTTTAACAGCTTCTTGCCCACAATGTACTGTGGAAGAGCGGCAGCTACAGGCAAAGTGATGTAACTGTACGTCGCTCTGGCTGTACTAACACAGCGGGGGTGCGCAGCGCTCCCCTCCTCGCGACAGCTGTGTAAAGCAGATACAGCGGTATGAAGATCACAGTGAACGAGACCTGGTGATCATGTGATCGCTATGCTATCACATGATCACTATTGGAAGCAAAGCTGTTATGAATCAATCTCATAACAGCTTTTCTCTTCCTAGTGAGTTCTGATTGGCCCACAGCATTTTGCGGGCGAGCAGAAGCTCTTGGCAAAGCAACGTAATCTTGCGTCGCTTCCTATTTTGGGGTATGCCTGCACCTGCGCCCCCCCACCCACCCGTCGGTCCAGGAAGAGAAGTGAGAAAACGTCACTAAGTAAAAGCACCAATACATGTTAAACACACTAGATTAGCACATTTAACCCTTTGATAGCCCCTATTAACCCTTTGATGACCCCATCACCAAACCAGTTCCATTAGTACAGTGTCAGTATATAGAATTTTTCACTGATCACTGCATTCCTGCCACTAGCGACATCAGATAGCATCAAGTCAGTAAGCGTCCCTCCCAGCCAGGGTCAGCCAGCGTTAGATTGCCCGCAAACTATCACACTCACGCATAAGTCGCTGATCACACCCATTATTGGTTTAGTGTTTGTATGGATCAATATATTGATCATGAACATAACTATACTAATGCAGTGGCTTAAATGCGGAGTAACTGATATGGAACAAGCACAGAGGAACTGTCACCCATTTACAGTTTGCTTTTTCCAGGACTGACTCAAAGTATTAAAGACAGACAGGCAACTAGCATTTTCAAAAGGAGGCCAACAATTGCAGCCTCCATATGACTCTCGTAATAGGTGTACTAGGAGCAATTCAGCTTCCAAGTTCAGCTTTGAGACTTCCTATATCACACCTCTCTCTGCACATCCAGACTGAACAATGAATCAACATCCTCATCACCTCGACTCAATAAGCAGGAAGCAGTAAAGCTGGTGCAGGAAACAGTAACTTCCTTCACTGAGGGGTGAAACAACCCCAAACAGGACACCCACAGCAATAAAGACTTGACAGATGGCTTAAAGCAGGTCATAGACAAATCGAAACTTAACAGGTTCAGCAGGAACCGTCCAAAATTCAATAAGTGTGTGGCCATCTCTGTTCAACAGATGTTGATTGTAAGGAAATTCCTACATCCACCTCATTTGTGTGGCTGGACGAATCTGCACTTTTTTTGTTGTCTGGCCAGCTTTACCCCTCTTGACTCTAACTAAAACCCCTTGCCCACCCCCCGACACTGTCATTATGGACGCACTCCTGGATATTCCTGGTGTATTGACTATACTAACAGCTTTTTTTCTACCTGTCTTTCATTTAGGCATACTTTGTTAAGATCAATGATGACACTTCCACGTCATCACTGCATCAAAATTTGGCAATGTTGCCCCCAACCCTCCTTTCCTATTCAGCTAAGGCAGTGGTCTCCAAACTCCGGCCCTTTGCTTGCCTCTATCTGGCCCTCGGAGTATTTCTTCCACTGATACCAACAAGGAGCCACCATTTCTTCCACTGGCACCAAATATTGAGCATTTTCCTTCAGCTGACACCAATGATGGGGCACAATTCTTCCCACTGATATTAACAATTAAGTACTAATCCTCCTACTAATACGAAGAATGGGGCACTACTATTCCTCCCCCTGACACCAAGGATGGGGCACTATTCCTCCCCCTGACACCAAGGATGGGGCACTATTCCTCCCCCTGACACCAAGGATGGGGCACTATTCCTCCCCCTGACACCAAGGATGGGGCACTATTCCTCCCCCTGACACCAAGGATGGGGCACTATTCCTCCCCGACACCAAGCATGGGGCACTATTCCTCCCCGACACCAAGGATGGGGCACTATTCCTCCCACTAATACCAATGATGGGGCAATATTCCTCCCACTAATACCAATGATGGGGCAATATTCCTCCTACTAATACCAATGATGGGGCACTATTCCTAGCACTAATACCAATGATGGGGCACTGTTCCTCCAACGAATACCAATGATGGGGCACTATTCCCCCCACTAATACCAATGATGGGGCACTGTTCCTCCAACGAATACCAATGACACTATTCCTCCTTCCACGGACTACAAGCATAATGTCACTGTTTTTACTCATGCTAACGCTGGGACAATTTCTACTGCCACTGGCCACTCCGGCTCTCCTAAAGTCTGAAGGACAGTAAACCGGCCTTTGAAAATTTGGAGACCCCTGAACTAAGACATCCTATACATTGATCATTTTTTTCCATTCAACCAGCAGGCTGAAAGAAAAAAAATTATATGATTCCCCTATCCACACAATTGATTTGACTGAGGGAATCCTCCCCACTGTATTCTGACAGTGGGGAGCCTTTCCTGTGGTGAGAATACCATGATCAGTGTTGTAGGCTATAGCTGGCAGCACTGATCATTTGGAGAGAGAAAAAAAAAAAAAAAAAAACCAGGCTGGTTATCCACAAGTTGAGTGATAACTCAACTTGCACACCACCCTGTCCATACATGGGTCGAAATTGGGCTGGTCCCTACTGAACCATCTTCTGAGTCTTCTCAGAAGCCCGCCTCACTACCTGCCCCCTGGACCCTATCCCCTCTCAACTCCTCCGGTCACCCCCCTCTTCCCTCATCCGCTCCCTTACCCACATCTTTAATCTCTCCCTCTCTACTGGCGTCTTCCCCTCCCCCCTAAAACATGCGCACATCACCCCCATACTCAAAAAGCCCTCCCTGGACCCCACTGACCTCAACAACCTCAGACCAATTTCCCTGCTGCCACTCACTTCCAAGCTCCTTGAGCGCTTGGTCTTCGATCGCCTAAGCACCCACCTGACTGACAGCAACCTCCTTGACCCACTACAGTCCGGCTTCCGTCCCCTACACTCCACCGAAACTGCCCTCCTCAAAATCACCAACGATCTACTAACCGCCAAAGCCAAAGGCGACTACTCTGTCCTCCTCCTCCTAGACCTCTCCGCGGCCTTTGACACAGTCGACCACCCCCTCCTCCTTAATAAACTACTCTCCCTTGGCATCAGAGACACCGCTCTCTCCTGGTTCTCGTCCTATCTATCCCAACGCTCCTTCAGCGTTTCCTACAACGGTGCCACCTCCTCCTCACTCCCCCTCTCTGTTGGGGTCCCCCAGGGCTCTGTCCTTGGACCCCTTCTCTTCTCCATCTACACCTCCTCCCTTGGCAAACTCATACACTCCCACGGCTTCAATTACCACCTCTATGCTGATGATACTCAAATCTACCTATCCACCCCTCACCTCACCCCCACATTCTCCGCCCGCATCACTCACCTCCTAAACGACATCTCTGACTGGATGTCGCTCCATTTCCTCAAACTCAACCTCTCCAAAACCGAGCTTCTCATCTTCCCCCCAGCCCGCGCCCCCCCCCCCATCCTTTCCATCACTACCAACAACACCACCATCAATCCCGCCCAGCAAGCCAAGGTCCTTGGCGTCATTCTGGACTCAAACCTTTCCTTTCAACCTCATATCAAATCTCTCACAAACACATGCAGGCTCCACCTCCGGAACATCTCCAAGATACGCTCCTTCCTTACCCCAGACACCACTAAACTACTAGTACACTCCCTGATTGTCTCACGCGTGGACTACTGCAACTCCCTCCTCACCGGCCTACCCCAGTGCAGGCTCTCCCCGCTTCAGACCATCCTGAACTCAGCGGCCAGACTCATCCACATCACCAGCCGCTCCACCTCTGCCACCCCCCTCTGCCTCTCCCTCCACTGGCTCCCCATTGCCCAACGCATTAAATTTAAATTGCTCACCCTGACCTATAAGGCCATTCACAACACTGCCCCTAACTACCTCACCGACCTGATTCCCAGGTACCACCCTACCCGTACCCTTCGCTCTTCACAGGACCTCCTTCTATCTTGCTCCCTGGTCTCCTCCTCCCACGCACGACTGCAAGACTTCTCCAGGTCCTCCCCCATCCTCTGGAACTCACTACCCCAATCCATCAGACTGTCACCTTCCCTCCTCACCTTCAGGCGCTCCCTGAAAACCCACCTCTTCAGGGAAGCCTACCCCACCCTCACCTAACAGCCGCTGCCCTTCCCTCCTCCTACCACTCCATCCCCCACAGCCATTTCCTCCTGTGCCTCTACCCCCTCCCTCCTAGATTGTAAGCTCGAAAGAGTAGGGCCCTCTTACCCCTTGTGTACTGTTTGATGTTACTGTTCTGTTTCATGTATTGTCCCCCCTCTATTGTACAGCGCTGAGCAAACCCTTTGGCGCTATATAAACTCGATAAATAAATAATAAATAAATAACCAGACAAATATTGATCTATGTATGGCCAGCTTAACTGTTGTTTCTTCATTATTTCAAGTTCTTTAGACAAAAAATTTTTTACCAACTCTGTGAAGGCTTGTACAGTGGTAATGTCCCTTTTCTGCCATACATTTGTATACCATAATATGCTGCATTGATATTAATACTGAAGCATATGCAACTCAGCAGTGTTCTATACATCCTCATACAACTGCATCCACGTAAATGACCTTTATACTGTGCTAAAGGCCATAGAGAAGGACTTAAAATGGAGTACTATGCTTAAATATGCATTATCTACAAGCAATCTTTTTCTGATACCAATTATAGAACGCAGTTCAGTATAGCAAACATTGATTTAACAAGTGTGTATGTAGTTGTGTCTACGAAGTTATCTTTACAGTTTAAGTTCTGCTTAATCCAAAACTCTTAAAAGCTAGGTAAATATAAAATCATAGCACCTATCACCATGTGACTGTATTCCTGCTTCAACACGAATGTGAATATTTCCCCTCCAGAAAGGGTTACACACACAGAAAAGTAAAACCAGCTGAAAAGCAGAAACAGTGCTGCATTTCTTG